CATTCTTTGAAAACCTGACATAACTAGTGGAGATAACAAAGAATACCATGACAAGTTTTTGAGTCTTGCAATGCTTTTGAGAGAAAATCAACATTTACTCACGTAAGGTTTTTTACTTTCTATCCTTGAATAATCTCATTATTATTATTTTGATTGATGCAAATAGAGCAGTCTATTGATGTATTCCACAAATAATCTGTTTATTCAACACATACATAAGCACATGCTTGAGAAAGGATCTTACACCATCTTTGATTAATTTTTGAGCCTCAACCATTTCTTTTACAAAATTATATCCCTAGTTAGTCATGATTGAGCCTTTAATGTGTGATTTCTGTTTCATGCAACCCATATGCTAACCGAGCCACAGGAAAATATATTTGACATACCTTTGGTATCCAATTTTTTTGCGCCCTCTTATGAATCAGTATGATACAGAAAAGCAAAAGAAAAAGAAAAGAAGATGGTGGCTATTGTGCAATAATAATAATAATAATAATAAATGACCAAGAAAGTGAAAAATAAGAAAAAGAATGAAAGAAAGAAATACCATGTAGGTGAAGTTTTGAAAAGCTAGAAGAGGTGTGCTACATTACATAAAGAAATGATAGCTTTTGAATATCATTGACATCGTTTCATTAGCCACTGAACCCTGACCACATTTTAACCTATAAAAAGACCTAATTGATCTCAAGTTTGATGCATGTGTAGGTCGTCAATCAAAAGTGTGGGGCATGTACACTAGTATTACTTTATTTGTATCAATATTCTTCCATGAGATTATGCCAAATCTGATTAGTCTGTTCCTTGGTTTTCACTCCCGTAATTGTGTAGCATGTAAATTTACAATTAACCTTCTTCTGATCACATACTTTTGAGAGAAAAGTCACTATAATCAGAGAGAATTTTTGCTGAGAGATTTCTAAGGGAGGATTGTGAAATCAAAGCTATCCATGAAAGGTTGTAAAGAAGAGTTTTTGTTATATAATAACTCTTGTTGCTAGAATGATTATTCTTACTACATAGAGAATTTCAAACACCAATGTAACAAGTGTTTATTTTGCATATAGTACGTACCTAGGATAGAGAAGTGTTTGGGAAACAATCCAAAATTAAGGGATGGGTGTCTTAACGATTATGGTGCTAACTCATTCTGACAAGAAATCTTACATATACACGTCTTTTTAATTGGAGTTTGTAGATAGTTTCACTGAAAACCTTCATGAGACAAAACTCATCCACTAGGGATCACTTAGGGGTTTAACGGTTTGTTGCATATGCTAAATGCATTCGTGTTATCTACAAAAGTGTTTTATTTTGTTCTATTGTTATTTATTACTAGGGACTATTAATATTTAGGTTGGGGGGTGTGATTCACCCTAATTAATGCATAATTTAATTAAGTTAATACGTCAATTGTGTTAGTTAAACAAAGTTAGTCAAAGTAAGTCAAATTAGGGTTAGTGTGTGAATTAGGGATAATACATTAATTGTTGTTCTTTTCAGGATTTTGTGTGTCAAAACTACAAACTACTGGGGTGCAAATTATGAAAGCTCAAAAAAAAGGGGGATCAAAATGTAATCAAGTCCTCCCTTTTTGCCTATAAATACCACCATTTGGGGCTTGTAAAGATCCATCTTTTGGTAGTGAAAAACCCTCTAAAAGTAATTATTGCTTTCTTTTATTGTATTATTGTTTTCTTTTAATTTATTGCTTTCTTTTACTTTAATTATTGTTTTCTTTTAATTTATTGCTTTCTTATATTTTAAGTATTACTTTTTTATACTTCCATTTTTTGAGCTTCCTTATTCCCTTAGAGGAGTGAAACTCTTCCACTTTCCTAGAGTATTACCAAAGCCGTGAAGGGTGGAACGTGATTCACTCATTCTTTGTCGAAGATCGGCTCCTTGTGTAAAGTGTTTTACCTTGTAACTCCTCTAATTGGAGGGATGGGCATCACCCAATTTTCTAGCTTTACCAAAGCCATGAAGAGTGAGTAGTTTCTCATTCACTCTTTAGTAAGAGGTCATGAACATGTATAAATCACTCGGAAGTTATATTTGTGCATTTCATTTATGCTTAATGATTTATATTTCACTTGCTTATTGAATGATTGAATGCATCTACCAAATCTAAAGTACTTTGTATAACCGTGAGTATTTTCTATGACACAAATGACTCTTTCATAGAAAGACTTATTGGTTCAAGGCAAGTATCTCAACTAGATCTTTATGACTAACCTTCAATCTTCACAATTATTGTGCTTCATTTAAAGAATGGAAAACTAATGCAATTGTAGAAAAACTTGCTTGTCTGTAGACAGGTAAACTTCTACAAAGACATCGAAAACCATGCTATTAATTCTCACAGTCCATCTTTATCTGCCAATTAACTTCATGTTGACACGGTGGTTAATTGCGTTCTCAAGCACAAGTATAATAAACCGGATGGTTGACTCCATGTCCAGATTGTTGAACTAAAGGGTGACTTTTTACATTTGAAATTATCTTATATTTTGTCTAGAAAATCCTCTTGGAAAGAATTGTATATTCAGCCTAGGAAAAATCCGTAAAGATCATCACTTTAAATTTCAAGGGTTCCAATCACTTTGGTCTTTGTCACTACTTACTTTAAAACACCAACAAAAGATTTCACTTTGTTTTTACAATAATCACCGTCATGATGATACATCTCCTTCCCTGAGGAGACAACCTTGGAATACGATTCCAAGTAAAACACGACAAGCAAAAGTCTCTTTGCGCTTGGGGAGCATTTTTGTTCACACACACACACACACATTTCATACTATTCATTCACCCACCGTTCCATTGCCCTTTCTTTTGACATCATTGCAAGGGAGAGTGATATTCCCCTCCATGCATAAACTATACGCATTGAGGGATGATGTTCAGAGGGTAGGATATACTACAACAGAAACAAACAAGCAGGTTGCAATACCCCAGGTAAAGAAAAATCCAATCGTGTATTTTGAATCTTTAGTATCAGACATCCAATTAGCATTGGTATATCTCTCGAGTACAGCTGGATATTTTGTGAAATGCAAAATATAGGTTTGGATATATTTTAAATATCTCAATACCCTAATTATTGCTTTTCAGTGGTCTTTTCATAGATTACTTATATATCAACTTAACTTACTCCCAGAGTATGCTATATCGGGATGAGTATAATTCATGATGTACATTATAGTACCAATTATATGTGCATATTTGAATTGAGATATACTTTCACCATTATTCTTAGAGAGATGGATATTAAACATCGATAAGTGTTCTCATATGTTTTATCTCATACTTCTTGAACTTATTAAGTACTTCATCAATGTAGTGAGATTGAGATAACGTGAGTCTATCTGACGTTCTAGAAATTTTAATTCTTAATATAATGTCAGCAAAACCCAGGTCTTTCATTTCAAACGTATTTGTCAACATCCATTTGGTAATTTTAATGACATCATAATTGTTGCCTAAAATTAGCATATCGTCTACATAAAGAGATACAATAGAATATCCACTATGAGTGCTCTAGACATAAAAAAATTTGTTACACTCATTTATTTTAAATCCATTTGACAACAAGGAGTTTTGGGGGTGGACATAACTTCATTGAAACTTTGAGAATCATTATCTAATAGATAAGTTAGAAAATCAGGACCAAACGACGCTGAAGTCTTTGTCCTTTTGCTATGTTTAGGTTCATCTTCTATGAACTCCTTGTTCGTATTGACTTGGCCATGCCTAGTATAGCATTAATTGGTCTCTTTAATGGGCTTGATTTATGTGACATATTAAATGAAAAATTATTTTCAAAGAATGAAACATTCCTTGATTCAATAATTGTATTAATATGCAAGTCAAAAATCTTAGATTTATGAACAAGAAATTGATATGCATTATTGTTATGTGCATAACCAATGAATACACAATCAATAGTTTTAGGTCCTATTTTTACATTTTTAGGTTTAGGAACTGTAACTTTTGCTAGACACCCCACGCTTTTTAAGAATTTATAGGAAAGTCTTCGACCTTTCCATAATTCATATGGTGACTTATTTGTTTTCTTATTAGGCATTTATTAAGAATATAATTAGCAGATAGTAAGGCTTCTCCCCATAAGTTTTGGGGTACACCCGAACTTGAAAGTATAAAATTCATCATTTCTTTCAATGTTCAATTTTTGCGTTCAGCTACGCTATTTGATTATGGTGAATAGGGGACAATAGTTTGGTGAATGATTCCATGTGTTGAACAAAACTCCACAAAAGGAGATTCTTATTCACCTTCCCTATCACTACCTAATGCCTTAATTTTTCTNATGATTCCATGTGTTGAACAAAACTCCACAAAAGGAGATTCTTATTCACCTTCCCTATCACTACCTAATGCCTTAATTTTTCTACTAAGTTGATTTTCAACTTCATTTTTATAATGCTTGAACATATCAATTGTCTCATCTTTTCTTCTAATTAAGTAAACATAACAGTATCTTATGCAATCGTATAATAAAATACTTTTTACCACATCTGGTTTGCCCAAATTTGAGATTATACACACACACACACACACACAAATACGCTATGGGGGGTGGTTAATTCTTCCTTCTGGCTTAATAATGAATGTATGTTAGACATACTTCTGCGTCATTTTGAAGAAGCGATAGAGCAGGTTATTGTAAGATTTGATTTTCATAGGATTAATTTTCATGATTTTAGATCCTGTGGTTGGATCTTCAAAGTTGAAAGTCACATATAGATATAGACCCTATGCACCAATCGGCAATGGGAAGGAAATTTGGAGCTCTGAGCAAATTCTTCTCCATGACGAAGCTAGAATCAAGTTCATGAATGACAAAATATCCACCCTGTATCCGACAGAAGACTCCAATTCACCACTTCCTATTTCAACTGACTCCAAATAAGCCAACATTTACACTGTAACCATTAAAATGGGCACACCCCAACAAAATTATTCGGTGAGCAATGACAGTGGCAATGACATCACTTGGTTACAATGCCAACCATGTTTCACAGGTTGCTATTCTAATCCTAAACTCTGCTCGATCCCTCCAAGTCCTCTACTTATGTAAATGGTTCATGCAAATCCACTAGAAACGAATATAACATCCTCTACAACGATAAATCGTACTCTAGAGGAAAATGGGGATGTGATACCCTCACACTTGAACCCTCTAATGTGACCCCTAACTTCCAATTTGGTTGCTATCAATATAACAATCATGAATTTGGCAATGCGGTTGAGGTAGGAATGCTTGGCCTTGGAAGAGGACCCACATCACTATTATCTCAAACTGCTTCACAATTTGGGAAGACCTTTCTTTATTGTTTCCTTGGTCCTATAAGCTCAACATGGTATCTTTTATTTGGTGACAAAGCCAAATTTTGCTCCTTTGCATTCAAATTCCCGCCACTACTAAAAGGCACCGACAGTTCTCTTTAATTCCTCGAACTCGTTGCTATAAGCATTGGTGGAACAAAATTGAAAATTTCCCCATCTGTATTTAGGCCACTCAATTGCCTGTATCAGCTTATTCAGCATTGAAGTTTGCTTTTAAGAAATCAATGTCCAAGTATCCTTCTGCTCCAGTAGCTGAGCTATTGGATACATGCTATAACATTGAAAGATATAAAAATGTGAACCTACCAAAGATTGTGTTTCATTTTGGAGGCGAAGCTGATGTAACGTTACATCCATCAGGAATTGTATGGATGTCGAGCAAAATACAAATGTGCTTAGGTTTTGCATCCACAAATGACTTGACCATCATTGGGAATAATCAGCAACACGCACTAGAGGTATTTTATGACACAGAAGGTGGGAGGATAGGATTTGGCAATGCAGGCCGTTGCGACACTTTATATTAACATCAATCCCTACAGGCACTAAGCTTTCTAGAGAATTTTCGTTCATGTTCTATATCCATATTCCATTAGCAATAAGCTCTGGACATTTTTTTTCCTAGTCTCAATGTTTGTCTACTTCATGTATGCTTTGAAACCATGAGTGTAAATCTATGATCAAATTGCAATATATGACAAGATCGTTCTTTGCACAAGTAGCAAACAACTTTATCCCATTTTGAAGAGACTGATTTTGGAACTCGAGATATATGTTACTCAAACAATATGAGCCATCAAGTGAAGCTAACAAGTGTTATTTGTAGTATTTCAAATAAACTAAAATAACTTATTGAAATTTCTGATTTGTATCATGCAATTGGAATAAACAGTAATAGTGAAAAATGAATATTTACAGAAACGAATAAAACAATTGCACAATAAATCTATAATTTAAACAATATATAAATTGACCCATTTGAAGATTAAGAACTGTTATTAAAATTTCTGCAGATCAAGACTAGTGTTTGACACTATATTCTTAAGATAGATTTCGACCCCACACATGATGCTTGTGGAAATCAAAGCGTCTGCCTCCTAGGATACAATGATCCTCACGTGAATAGAAGTAGCACTCCAATCTATTTGCCCAACGAATTAGAGATTGTGTTGTGTACTCTCAAATGTAGACTGTTATAATGTATGAGATTGTCTTAGTGACTACGAAATTTATTGGATGCAAAATAATTATATGACTAGGTTATTTATAGAGAAAATAGTTATTGATCTGGACAGTCACCATGTCGAAAGGATGCAACCCAACATACACATGCAATTAAAAGACATCATTGATTAACTATTAATCTATGAACAAACAATATTCAAAATTTGGACTGGACTGAAGGAAGGAAAATTTTGAACTAGTGCGAATTCAAATCGAATAGGTATCGAAATAAAATTTCAGTTCAAAAATTCACGTCCAATTCGTTAAAGAATTTTCTCTAAAAAATAAGGCTTGGTCTTACCCACACCCGGCCCGGCCGAGTTGTGGCATGGCAAGTGGCACGCCCATTTTGTGGTTGAACCAAAAGCATTTAAGCACTCACTCCGCTCATAAAATTGTGGTATTCCTTGGGGCCCAATCTCATAGAACAAACTTAACCTATACATGTCCATGTAGAACTTCTTCTTCAACTAATATGGGATTGGTGTGAAATCTCACATTGTACAATCTCTATTTTTGTATTTCAAGAGGGTTACTTTGGAGCCTATTTTCTCATTCATTTCTTGCTCAATTTGAGCAAGTGAATATACTACGTTATTCTCCTTATGGAATAGAACATGAATCCACGAAAATTTACTCGAAACAACAATCGGGTACCACTTTAAATTAGACTCAAAATCGATCAAAAATTAGATTTTAATTACTAAAATCTTTTGTAGCCCAACAAGACATGCCAATTAGGGAGAGGACAGTCAATCCTCCTCCCCTCACTAATCAAGACTTCTATTTTTTACATGGTTTACTTCAAGTCTGCTATACGCCTTAGATCTAATCCCTCACCTATATATCAAAAGTTAGAACGATTGAATTGAAAAGGCATTTCAGGAATCCTTGAAGGGTGGATAATTGGATTAAAAAAAATTGAAGCATTTAGTACTGGAGAGGAGCCGAGTCAAATCCAATTGAGGCTTGTATCATTTGAAGTGTTTGATTTTTTTTTTTTTCAATTATAGATCACATAACATGAATAAAAGTAGGCCCCATTTTATTCAGCTAGGGTCTCAAATTAATAACAATTGGTTTAGTGGATTGGATTAATTTGCGACTTGAGTTTTCCTCTTTGTCCCTATACTCTCTCCCTCACGACTAATCAGAATCAATTTCTCTCCTATGGTGCCATTTTTGCTATCTGTAACTAATGAAGATTCAAGACAGAGACGCTTTTTAAAATTGAAATAAAAATTAGAGGGGAGTACAATGTGATTTCAGAAACTAGAGGAGGGTGTTTTAAAGACAACTTCTTTGTGCTCGTACTTGTGTGTTTGAAGGGACCACCAGGTGGGTGTGCATATTCATGTGACCCAAGTCAAAGTTTGTATCTTTGTACTTTAGGAAGAAGACCAGGTCAAAAGAAATGAAGAAAACTAATGAAAATAGCATTTCCAAAGTAAAGCAAACCAGGAGAATCGTATGGGCCATGTTTGAATCTTCAATTCTACTCTATTGATCATTCAAAAGAACCACAACATTGATTTTCAAATCGAACAACGAATTCTAAAATTATTGTATAGTAATGTTAAAATGCTGGTGTGACATCTAAATGACATGTCTTTTTTTTTTTTTGAACCTTCATCTAAATGAGATGCCGGAGTTACTAATATTATATATATAGAGTTAAGTTGTCAAGGTAATTCGGAATAAAATAGTTCAGTTGTTATCATCTCAAGTGTGACTATTGTAAGAGAATCCTAGTTTGTCTAATCTGCATGATTTTCGGACATCCGAAAATAAGCACAATGCTCATTGCTCAGACATGATTACAATGGCTCAGCATTAGATACTTAGATAAATATTAGAATACCCCATGTAAAGTGTATTATTTTACCATGGTTAAAATATTTACTATAGTTAAGATGTTTAGTTAAAGTATTTTATTGTTATTGAATGATAAATATTTTAAAATGTTTACTGTTTTTAAAAGATTAATATAAATACGTATATTTACTTGGTTACAGAATTAAAATGTAAAATCGACAAATTCAAACAAATCTAAGCCGCCATTGTGCTTCGTGTTAAGAAGGTTCTTGTATTACTACATAGATTTAACAGTAAGGATTGTTCAAATATTTATTGTGATTAAAACATTTATTGTTGTTATAATATAAAATGTAAAAAGACAGATTTACTTTGACTAGAATGTTAAAATATATTCATAAGATAAACTGTCACATCCAACCGTCGTTGTGCTTTGTGTTGAAGAGCTTGTTGTATCATTATTTAGATATTGTTTGTGGAAGGGCAAAAGCATGCAACTCATACCAAGTCGTTGATATATATAGGTTCACTGCTGCCAAAAGCAAATTTCTCCACACATAGCAGAGGTCTGCAAAACTTCTCTAATATATGATGATTTTGTTGTAGAAGTAGCCAGAGACAGGAATGTAATTGCTCATGTGTCTGAGTTTTCTACTATATGGTCTCCAATGTTGCGTCCTTACTAGTTGTTACGCCAACTATATAATCAGACTCTAAATTTAATACTTTAATTGTAGCAGATCTAATGCAGCAACTATACTGTTATATGTAATATAAATAAAACAAAATGTATAAACTAAATAGTAATACACTCACAGTGACGCAAAACAACAATAAATAAGAGAATAAGAATTCCAGAAATCTAAAAATAATCCAATCTCTGTGTAATCATAGTTTTCTTAAGACAAATTTGCTCTCTCTCAATACTCAAGCAATTGTCTCCCAAGACAGAATGAATTTCATTCTTAAAGATGCAACACTGTTGGAAACAAGAACAAGCTATATGAAAAGATATGCAGAGAATAGAGAGAACACAAAGGCTAGAATATTTTTATTGAGCAGTAAAAGCACATATTTATACATCAAAGATGTAAATTGAATTGCTGAAAGTTAGATAGAAATCAGCCAACAAACAACCAAAGAAATCTGAAGTGTATCAGGTAGTTGCTAATTTATTGGTTATGGATAAGACTAACTTTAACAACTATTTTGACTCTTTCAAACCACATCAGCAGCTTCTAAGTCACGTTTTCAACACTCCCCGTGACTTTGGAGCTACATACTCCTAGCTTCAGCATCAAATTTTCAAAATGAGCTTTAGGCAGTGCTTTTGTAAATATATCAGCATTTTGGTCTTTAGTTTTGCAGTAAACCAGCTGCACTTCTCTGTCTTTTTGCAGTTCTATCAGAAAATAGAGTTTAACCTTGAAATGCTTTGTCTTGCCATGGAACACTGGGTTATTAGCAATTGAAGTTGCAGCTTGGTTATCCACAAAAATCTTTGTGCCTTGTTCATGCTTCATCGGCAAATCAGTCATAAGTTTCCTGATCCAAAGAGCTTGATTTGCTGCAGCCATGGCTGCTACATATTCTGCCTTACTTGTGGACTGTGCTATAATTTCCTATTTATTAGAACACCATGAAAAAAATACCAGAACCAAAACTAAAACAATAGCCAGAAGTGCTCCTCATATCATCAACACATCCAACCCAATAACTATTAGAATGACCATGAAGACTGAAATCCTTGATTTCACTGAATTTTAAGCCATAATCAATTGTACCTTTGACATATCTAACAAATTCTTTTGCTGCTAGTAAATAAATTTTGCTAGCACAGTGCATGTATCTTGACAAAAGGCTTACAGCTTGCATGATATCTGGCTTGGTTGTTGTTAGGTACATCAGGCAGCCTATTAGGCTTCTGTACAACGTTTCATCAACCTTTTCAGCTCCATCTTCCCTGCATAATTTTTCCTTTTGATTCATTGGAGTAGTAGTTGGTTTGCATTCTTCCCTGTTNAGTGTTTCATCAACCTTTTCAGCTCCATCTTCCCTACATAATTTTTCCTTTTGATTCATTGGAGTAGTAGTTGGTTTGCATTCTTCCCTGTTGAACTTTTTGAGAAATTCCTTTGCATATTTCTGCTGTTGCACAAAAATTTCATGTTGTTTTTGCTGCACTTGCATACCAAGGAAGAATGACATCTTCCCAAGGTCTGTCAGCTCAAACATGTCTTTCATACTTTCTTTAAACCAGCCAATTAACTCCTCATTGCTTCCTGTAACAAGCAGATCATCACCATATAAAGACACCACAAGTGATTCATCATCCGCTTTCATTACATATAGAGTAAATNAGCTCAAACATGTCTTTCATACTTTCTTTAAACCAGCCAATTAACTCCTCATTGTTTCCTGTAACAAGCAGATCATCAACATATAAAGACACCACAAGTGATTCATCATCCGCTTTCATTACATATAG